ATATGTATATATATATATATATATATATATATATATATATATATGGAATCTGATGAATAGAAAATTTAAAAGAACAACATTTATTTGAAATATAAATCTTTTGTAATATTATAAATGTATTTACTCCCATGTTCTTAAATTTAATGCATTCTTGCTGAAGAAAAGTATTAATTTTAAAAACTTACTTCTTGCAGAAATGTATTATTTAGGGTTTAAAAACAAACACAGTGCTTGAATAATATCAATACAGTGTCGCCCTGCACGTATTTTACAAAAATATTTTATACTTAAGTAATTTCAGTGCTATTTTGGTTTGTAGCTATGCAGATTTTTTTTTTCTTTTAATTTAATTTTCTTCCCAGGTCTGGCAAGGTTTTTTTTTTTGGCCAGTCATAATTAACACAACCATCAACACCTCCAACAGTATTAGAAAAAGGGAAGGATGCAATGGCCTCATCCTGCTCAATGTGCTCACCTTTATGTTGACACAGAAAAGGTGGTAACACTGTCCACACTGAGCACAGGCCAGCAGTCGACCCTCCACACCCTGTCCAAAACTCCCACAAACCACACACATATCCTAAAGAAAACACACACACACACACACTAGTGTAAGAGAGACTCCACATATACAGCTGCAAGCAGCACGACCGCTCAGAAACATTTACCTGTTTCATAGTGAACGTGTCTGTACTAGAGAAAATCACTACTGTATTGTGCATGGCGTTTTCTTCCTCTTCCTTAAATGTGCAAATGGGTTCCATGATGTTTATCTGCAGCGACACAAACAGACCATACAGATAAACGGAGGAGCTGTATAGCAATTTATCCACATATCGGAACAAACCATGTAGTAGCTGTCAGATAATGTGACGTACTCCTGGTGTAGGTATTGGAGGGACTCCATTCTTCATTCTGGCCCGGCCACGTCCTCCCCGGCCCGTGACACCTGAACCCCTGGGCCGTCTCCTGCTGGGGAAGCCAGATCCTCGGCCCTGCTAACACCACAGAGACACCATCAGGGTCATGTTCACTGCCAGAGAGTGATTCTCATCGAAAAGAAGAGGCTAAAGGAAGCAGTAGTAGCTTTATAATTGCGATAAATGTTCAATAGTGTGTAGTTACACTGTAATAACAATGTTATACACCCACTTTGCATTTATAATTTCACATTTCTGATGAAATACAGGGATCCGACACATTTCAATGAATTTCCATGGTTTTTCCCAATAGTTTGTAATCACTGGACAAGGATTTTTCAAACGTTTAGGGTCAGTAAGATTTTTTTAATGAAAGAAATTAATACTTTTATCAAGCGAGAAAGCATTCAATTGATCAAAAATGACAGTAAAGTAACATTGGTACAAGAAATTAGATTTTAAATAAATACTGTTCTTTTAAGCTTTAAAAAAAAAAAAAAAATCCTGAAAAAAAAGTATCACTGTTTCCACAAAAAGATTAAGCAGCACACCTTTAAAAAAAAAAAAATTAATATTAAAAAGAAAACATTTTCTTGAGCAGCAAATCAGCATATTAGAATGATTTCTGAAGGATCATGTGACACTGAAGACTGGAGCAATGATGCTGAAAAATCAGCTTTGCGTCACAGGAATAAATTACATTTTAAAATATATTCACATAACAGTTATCTATCTTAAATTGCAATAATATTTCACAATATTACTGTTTCTAATGCACTTTTGGTCAATTAAATGGAGCTGGAAGAACAAAATTCTCATGGATTTACAGCGTCTGGAGAACTTGGAAATGTGGCTTTCACAGAAACATGTACTCCTGTGCCTGGCACATTGCGCTGAATATTAAACAATGATTTCAGCAGACAAAAGGTTTCCTTAGAAATGGTTCACAGTCCATCTGGGGGAGCCGTGATGACTAACACCAGCTTTTGTGCAAAAAAAAAAAAAAAATCCTGAAAAAAAAGTATCACTGTTTCCACAAAAAGATTAAGCAGCACACCTTTAAAAAAAAAAAAATTAATATTAAAAAGAAAACATTTTCTTGAGCAGCAAATCAGCATATTAGAATGATTTCTGAAGGATCATGTGACACTGAAGACTGGAGCAATGATGCTGAAAAATCAGCTTTGCGTCACAGGAATAAATTACATTTTAAAATATATTCACATAGAAAACAGTTATCTTAAATTGCAATAATATTTCACAATATTACTGTTTTCACTGTATTTCAAATAAATGAAGCCTTGGTGAGTATAACAGACTTCTTTCAAAAACATAAAAAATAAAAAAAACTTACTGACCCCAATATTTTGCTCTTGAATATGTTAACGCTTAATGTAACTACAAAAATGTACAGTAACTATAAAAATGTAAAAATATATAAAATATAACAATTCTATTAATTTGCATAACATTTCCAAATCTGAAAAGTCTATTTTTATGGTATTTCCAGTTTTCCCAATGAACATGTCAACTCCGTCAACAGGATTTCAAGCAAGCAAAGAAAAGCTATTTGATAGTATTGCTACAGCTAACTGAAAACTTGTTCAGTAATTTATTAAATGATTTTAGTAGGCTGACAAACACGTCTGATGTGTGATTAAATGGAGTGACTAAAGAAAGGAAAATGATGTGATGCTCCAAACGGTGAAGCATTCAACTACTTTCCTGTCATGTGAAGTTAGTCAAACAAATGAGCAGACTAATCTCATCTTACTTCTGTACACCACTTCAAAGAGCCTTCTTGCTGACTTAGTCCTCTACATGGACAGGACCGAAGCAATTGTGAGCAGGAAACAAGTCACCAAAGTTTTCTTTTCTCCTTATGTTTATATTTAATGACCGGCCCACCAGCTCAACTTTAATGCACTCTGATCAAATAACCAACCCAAACCAAACACGGCTCTCCCTCAATTTAACTAGCTGTCCCAGTGGAGCAACATTTCCCATAATGACACCAATTTTGCAGAGACCGTGACACTCGGTGTGAGACGGCATCTAAGGGAGCTGCCAACACAGCTATCAGGCTGTTGAGAGGCCTCGGCCGTGTTTTTCTAGCGATTTCACTTCTATTACTCTGTCAGTGCACTTCCTTTCCTCAGGGGCTGCCATTCTGACTGTCACAATCAAAACCCTTTCCAAGAATTACTCTCCCTCCCTCCCTCCCCATCTACTGCTCCTCTCGCTGGACCATCATTTCAGCAGTTCTTTCAACTTCTGCCTCTGCCACTCAGACTTGATGCTTTTTAAATTGGTCCTTTCATTGTCTGTTTTATTCTATCTTTTTTGTATATATATATATTATGTTATAATATATAT